TAGTGGAATATCTGGGAAATCATTTGCACAGGGCTTGATCGATGAACATTTACAGAGTAAAGAGAGAGCACATACGGTTGTAAGAAATTTAGTACACTACACTAACGACAACAATCCTAAACATGAGTTTGGCTATCCCAATCTTGCATGTTCCTACACGGTTGAGGGTTTAAAACGTTAAGCGTGGCATTGGGCAGATATGATGGACTTGTTGCTGCAATTATGCCTCCCTTTTTGTCTTAAAATGTGAGAGACATAGCAAACTAAGTTAAAATTTGTTGACCCTGTTTGCAACAAATTATATTAGATACAAAAATAAATTATAACCACAATATAAAGATGAAGAAACATAATTTTATTCATAAAAAGACGCGGGTACAATTCTGTTTATTCCCTTGATTCTTCTCTCCTGATTATCCCCGTGATTCGAGGGCTAGAACAGCGTGTTTCTTGAACGTAGGATGATGCGTGCTTTCATGGATTTATTTGATATCCATAAAGTATGTTGTGGATCTTCTTGAAGTATTTGATTATCAAGAATTATCCGGCCACTTCTTGATCTCTTTGTGAATATCCCGTGAGTTTATGGGATTTTCGAGATGATCTCCATTTTTGAGATATTTTTTAAAGGATTTTGTAACCCTTTTTATAAGAGTGACCTAGGGTTTTGGTAGAGTAGCCTCTAAGCAACACTAACAGACTCCTAGAATTTCAAGAGGTCGTGTAGTATCTTGAATTTAGGATTTAACTCAACCATTAAGATTTCGATGTCTACGGACCCATTTTTTTTGGGTGCAATTCAAACATATACTTCTGGCTAGGGGTATACATATGCCAAGTTGGTTTGGTTTTTCCCATTACCAAAACGAACCAAACCAATAAGCTAGCGTTTGGCCATAGATCCCAAATTTGTTTTGAAAAATCTGATTAGGGTGAAGTTTGGTTTGAAGATGAAAATGTGTTTGGACATACGTTTTCAAAACATATTTTCCAACTTTATTTTGGAAAAACATGTATATAATTCCTAAGTTTTGGGATTTTGACCCAAAATCAGCAATTTGGGTGATTTTGGAATTTGGGATTTTGCCAAAATGTAGCCAAAATTTATGGCCAAACATGAGTTTTGAAAACAAATCCCAAATTTATTTTGGCAAAACTCATGGCCAAACGGGTCGTAATAGTCAGGTTTTTCAACTTCGGATTTTCTCGAATTTTTCGAGTTTCTTGGATTTTTTGTTGTTTGATGTGCATAATCTTACAATATGTCCAACAAAATCTGAGTCAGACACATCAGTTCCTTGCAATAAGGTTTTTGAGAGAATACTTCCAAAGGAAATACCATAACAACTCTTAAAAATAGCTGCTGTCAAAGACAATCATGTATTATGAGTGTTCTTCCGCAACTTCAGAATGACAAGACTTTTTCAGGGATGCAACAACATGTACAACCAACCCATGTTAAAACTAGCTGATTAACACAAACCACATAGCATTATCACTGGACATAAAGGAAACCATGGGATCAAGTTGGTATGCTTCTGCTTGCCACTAATTTCAACACTTAAAACAAAGAGTAATTGCTAAAAAATAAACTTCAAAACCTGAGTGTAAATTAGTTCGGTTTGGGCTTTTTTTACCTTAAAGACACGTACGGGCAGTGGGCTTGACAAGGGCTTCTCTCTTGTGAAGCAAAGACACATGTTCCACGACATGAGGTTAACCACTTATAAACGGGCGATTTCCAGCCGTACCTTATTTTTATGCCACCTTTAATCTATACCCTATTTTTAAAAACTATTGATTTCGTAACCAACTAACAAAAAATCCGTATTAATATGACCATTATACCCCTTCCAAAACATATAAAAGATGCATCAACCATACCCAGATTCAAATTCCAAAGCCGTATCTCCTCCATCACTCCGTCTCTCCTGAGATCGCCTATCGCAAACCAGATTTGAACCAGATTCAAATTCAAAATTACAAAATACATTGTAAGTATTCAAAATTTGTTTCACGAACTTCACTGATATGCTGAATTTGCATTCTAAATCTGTTTGACGTTCATTTCTAACATTCTAATCCGACAAATATGCTGAAATTGTTGGTTTATTTGCTAAACAAGCTGAAGTTATTTAGTTCATATCTAAAAACTTCATTAAAACGAGTTATATGAGTGTTATCATTGTTTATTTGCTAAACAAGCTGAAGTTATTTAGTTCATATTTACAAAATTCAGCAAAACGAGCTGAAATTTTTCTCCTATTAAAATTTCATAAATTAAAATTTCATATTGCAAAAAAACTTAAGCATTAGTTGCTGAAGATTTTCACGTAATCTGTAAAAACTTCAGCAATATGAGCTGATGAAGTTTTCCTCCTACACTAAATAAAAAAAAAACATAAATTAAAATTACATATTGCACAAAAAACTTCAGCATAGGTGCTGAAATTTTTTAGTTAATATTTAAAAACTTCAGCAGGAAGAGCTGAAGTTTTTCAGTTAATCTTTAAATACTTAAGCAAGAAGAGCTGAGGTTAATCATTTCCTCTGCTATTTTTTCGATTTTGAATAGAATTAATCTTAAAAAAAACGAACAAAAAACTTATAACAAAAACTGAACATTTCATTAAACATGAAAAGGATAAATTAACATAAATAACAAAATAACAAAAATAACAAAAAGAAAAACTAATTGTCCATATTATCATCATCGTCGTCATCGTCATCGTCGTCACTACCAGATGGACGAGCATCTTCATCAGCAAGATTATCAAATCTTGCATACATCACAAGCGTATCAAGCTTGTTGTTGATTTCTTCCAGCTCCCTGTCGTACTTGTCTATGAGCTCATCCAGTTTTACCTCAAAGGCCTCTATAATGTGTTGTCTTGTATTTCTTCCACTATTTGCCTGATGACAACATCCATTTTTCTCCTTTTTGTATTTTTTGTCTGCTAAAATATATGTGTTTGAGTGAATAAACTCTCAAAGTATAGCGTGCTTTTATAGGGAAAAATAACTTCTGCATGGTATATGAAAAGGCAAAGAGGAATTTTAAACGTTGTCTGAAGAAAAGCGTGCATGAATGTGATAGGAATGTAATTATTACACTAACACATACCCCCAACGGAATATAATTACTACTTTAATTGTCTTTATTATGTTCACTCCTGTGTACTATGCAATTAATGCTGAAACGTGCTCAAGTTTGTTGAATTCATTTTCTAAAACTTCAGCTTAATGTGCTGAAGTTATTTAGTTCATTTCTAAAAACTTCAGCACATGATAAGCTGAAGTTTTTCTCCTGCACTCGATAGTTTTTGTCCTAAAGCTTTTTCAAATAACTTCAGCTCAATGTGCTGAAGTTATTTAGTTCATTTCTAAAAACTTCAGCACATGATAAGTTGAAGTTTTCTCCTGCACTCAATAGTTTTTGTCCTAAAGCTTTTTCAAATAACTTCAGCTCAATGTGCTGAAGTTATTTAGTTCATTTCTAAAAACTTCAGCACTTGATAAGCTGAAGTTTTTCTCCTGGACTCGATAGTTTTTGTCCTAAAGCATTTTTAAATAACTTCAGCTCAATGTGCTGAAGTTATTTAGTTCATTTCTAAAAACTTCAGCATTTGATAAGCTTAAGTTTTTGTCCTGGAATCGATAATATTTGTCGTAAAGCTTTTGTTATTTGGTGTATTTAGTGATGAGCTGAAGTTTTTGTCCTACATTTGAAACTTTTGTTATGACTTTTAACCAAACTACAGTCTACAGGATGAATCCGATTTGCATTGTTATAACTTTCAATGGGAGTTGGACTCCTGATTTCAAATACTTGGATCACGATACAAAACTTGTTCTACTTAATAAGCACATATCATTCAATAGTTTCCTAAAGAAAATTAGTGAAGTTGCAAATATTGATTCAACCAGATATGTACTAAAAGTATGGTTTGATATCGAACTAAATACAAGCAAAGGAATGCTTGTAACTACAGATGAAGAACTCAGTACGTGTATACATTTGCTTACAACTGATTCAGCCTACAAGAATTGCCATTTCGTCATCGAAAAAATACAACCTTCAGAATCTGCAGCATTCAACCAATCTCTTGCATATGCGATAGATTCAGAACCTGAGGCTGACTATCTACATGAAGTACGACGGCCAATAATGGAAGTAAACAACGGGCAACAACCTTCTAACATTACAGCTGCTTCAGAATAAATAGTGCTGCCACAATTACCCCCTCCTCCAATAAATTCATACCAGTTTGTCGATGACCAAGAAGAAGAAGGACAACTAATAATGCAAATTGACAACCAACACACAATCCAACAAAGCTTTTTTGTTACCTTCTGCAATGATAAGCAACAACGAAGATGAAGTAAACATGGAGCTTATACCGATAACATCAGATTGAATTGAAGAAATTGGTGAAAGTTCTTGTGCTTCTCAAAAATCAAGAAAAAGAGTAAGGAGAAAGGTGAAAGAATCTCCACTATGTAAAATACTTAGGCACGATGTGCTGCCTGAGGAAGTAAGAGTTGGATCAATCTTTGAAAAAAACAAAACATGACTAAATTTTTCTGCAGCTTGGAGATAAACCAGAAAGTTGAATTCACTGCTGTTAGATCATGTTCCAAGAGATACGAGCTAAAATGCATCATGGACAAATGTGGTTGGAATGTACGTGCTACCAGAATAAAAAATTCCACACTGTTCAGGGTAATAAAATATCATAACATCCATGAATACTCGGTTGATGCAATAAAATCAGATCAGAAGCATGCTACATCAAATTTCATAAGTGAACAAATTATAGAACATGTTCGAGACAAAAAGATAGAGGTTACAACAACCTTTGTAGAAAATGAAATGAAAAAGAAATTTGGAATTGACATCGGTTATCACAAGGCATGGCGTGCTATTCAAAAAGCTGTTGCTTGCATAAAGGGGAACACCTGAAGAGAACTACTAGATTCTTCCTTCATACCTACACATGATGGTGGCAAAAAATCCAGAAACGTACACAAGCATAAAAAGAGATGCGCAGAATAGGTAAGCAAAACAATACTAACCATCATCCTGAAGTTTCAAATGTTCCTATTTGAAAAACTTCACACCTTATGATTTGTTTTTTTTTGTGTTTCACCGTAAAGATTTGCTTACATGTTCTTTGCTCCTGCGGCATCAGTAGCTGGTTGGTCCTACTGTAGACCCGTTATTGCAGTAGATGCAACGTTTTTAAAGTCCAAATATCGTGGTGTTCTATTTGTTGCTGTATCAAAGGATGCAAACAATCAAATCTTTCCTCTATGTTTTGGTGTAGCAGAATTAGAAAACAACGAGGCATACATTTGTTTTTCGGGGAAATGAGAAAAGCAATTCAAGTCCGTCGTGAACTGGTTTTCTTGTTAGATAGAAACCAATCGATCGCAAATGGGATTAGAAAAGTTTTCCTGAAGCTCACCATGGTATCTGCCTCTATCACTTTGAGAAAAATTTAAAGCAAAGACATGCAAAAGCCACGGTAATAAATCTTTTTCAAAGTGCTGCAAGGTCATACAAACGTGAAGATTTTAATCAGTTAATGTCCCAATTCAAAAGTATTGACAAGAAAACATACAATTACATAATGGAAGAGCCTCCCGAGAGATGGGCTCGATCGTGGTTCCCACGGTGACGTTATGATATGCTAACAACAAACATGGTCGAATCAATGAATTCCGTTTTACTAAAAGGGAGATAAATGCCTATTTTAAGAATGTTAGATTTCATCCAAGAAAAGTTGGGAGAGTGGTTTTACGACGGAGAAAAAGGCAAATGAAACTTTTCACAGAGTATCAATATGGGCAGAAGAAGAGATGACTAAAAAGATGGACTTGGCTTGCAAAATGTTTGTGAGTATATTTATTAACTTCAGCTTTTTATATGTGTTGCAGTGATTTACTTCTTACATTAAAAATTTCATACTTTTTCTTTTTGAAGAAAAAATACACTAATATAGTTTGTCTTAATTTTTTATTCCTTGTTACGTGTTCAACCTTGACTCAACGTTGTTTAGAATAAATAGTGAAGGAATCAAATTCATTGTGGACTTAAAGAAGAGAACTTGTGACTGCCTAGAATTCCAACTGGATGAATTGCCCTGTCCACATGCAATTGCTGCTATGAATAAGAGATATTTGCAGAAATCTGATTACTGCTCAAATTGGTATTCAAGGGAAACATGGTTGAAAACATACGAAGGACATGTGAATACCGTGGGAGATCAAAAATCATGGGATATACCACAAAATGTACAATCTGAGATCACAAAACCTCCCGATGTAGAGATTTTACAAGGAAGAAGACAAAAGAAGAGGCATATACCTGCGACTGAATCATCACTACCATTCAAGTCTACCAAATGCAGTCGATGTAAACAAGTTGGGCATAACAGAACAACTTGCTTGTCTTCTCCAGCACCTCATCCATATTCCAAGAAACACACTGAAAAATACTCCAACCTTCAATAATCCTTGGTCTGAATTTAGACTTTCTTTATTGTATGACATAATTGAAATGTGATTTTTTTCATAGGAATAAAAAAAGAAGCTCTTGGACAATTTTATATACTGCTAAAGTATAAATCACTCATTTTTGTTGCGCAGGCTTACAGGTTTGGTTGCATTTTAAAAAAGTACGCAATGACTTCTCCGAGAAAAAATTTCAGGTTACAGTATATGAAATACATATCCTTAAACAAACATACACACACACATACAAACACTCTCACACACACACATACACATACAACACCCAAAAAGAAACGCATGTACAAACAAAAGCTGCAGCATCTCTAAGGTGAAGTTGTAGAAAAAGAACTTAATAAAAACTAAGTACCATACTGCAACTAAGAAGTATAAAGAAAATACCAACAAATAACAAGGATAATGCAAATAGAAATCTAAGAACAAAGAGGGTGACAATTACATTGATATAAAAAGAGGTCAGAACAACACACAAATTACAAACAAAACTTCAGCTCTATGGGCTGAAATTATACAAAATGAACCTAAAAAGCTTCAGCTCTATGAGCTGAAGTAAACAAAAAAGCATAGCATTAAAACATAAAAAAAAGATTACAAACACTAACAATTATCACCATTATCATCATCATCATCATCATCTTCATCATCACATTACTCCTCAATTTCTCTAAATATCTCATCATCATCACTATCGGAGATAACTATAGGGTAGTCGGGCAAAAGACCACTGAATCCAAGAAGATCAATCTTCAACTTGTTGAATTCATCACATAGCTGACTTTGTTCGACGATTACTCTATCCATAAGAGGAAGAAGAGTCTTCAGGTTGTTTTGCAGCTTGGAATAGTCGTTCCAGCTGGGAAACTAAAAACTATCAAACTGCGGCACAACCTTGTCGAACGAGGTTGAATAATCTCCACAACTACGTTCCATGTTAAGCCTGTTTTGGAATGATTGATTGGTACAGAGCTTTGGTCTGATTCTCTCCCAATCAGCCTTTATTTGATCCCACAAAATCATAAGATTAGCCACTGGTTTGTTATTGTACCACTCACACTTCAAAGCCTCCCACTTCTTCATAATTTCATCCATATTACGCTTCCCACTTCCGCTTGCACCAGACATTTTTTTCTTTAACAAAATCTGAAAGACTAAGGATGAATATAAATTTAAAGAAATATGATAGAAGTCTATGATTGACTATGAAATTTTCAAGTGAAGAGATTGTTAATATAGACAACGAGTTCACCTAATCAATTTAATATCTCTAAATGTAAAAGTAACTTTTCAGCTGTTTTTACTGTTTACGTTCAGAGAAATTGAATGACACAAGATAAGTTGGTGGTAAAAACAAGTATGTGGCAAATGCAAAAAGAAATGTAACTTCATCCCCACAGTTTTTCTATAGTAAAAAAATAACTTCAACCTGAAAAATAACTTTTCGAATCATTTACTATATAATCAAACAAATTTAAAGGAAAGATGAAGTAGTTGACAAAAGACAAAAAGTAGATAGTAAATGCAAAAAAGATAAGTATCAACTTAAAAAAATACCAAAACATGCTAAAGTTTTTCTCTTAAAGCTTTTTAAAAAAACTTCGGCCCATTGTGCTGAAGTTTTTTAGTATATTTCCAAAATCTTCAGCACCTGATAAGCTGAAGTTTTTGTGTTGGATTCAATAGTTTTTATCCTAAAGCTTTTTCAAAAAAACTTCGGCCTAATGTGCTGAAGTTTTTTAGTATATTTCCAAAAACTTCAGCACTTGATAAGCTGAAGTTTTTGTGTTGGATTCAATAGTTTTTGTCCTAAAGCTTTTTCAAAAAACATCGGCCCAATGTGCTGAAGTTATTTAGTACATTTATAAAAACTTCAGCACTCGATAAGCTGAAGTTTTGTCCTGGACTCGATATGTTTTGTCGTAAAGAATTTTCAAATAACTTACGCAGAAACTCCTGAAGTTATTTAGTGTATTTAGTGATGAGCTGAAGTTTTTGTCCTACATTTGACACTTTTGTTATGACTTTTAACCAAAACTTCAGCTTAAAAAGCAAAAGTTATTTACTTCATGCTCAAGTTTAGCATGCTGAATTTCAACAAAAATATACTTGAAATTCATGAAAAAGACATAAACATATTTGAATCAATCCAAGTCACATAATTCACACAAAAAAATGTATATTCACAAAATCCAATTTTATTTTCTCTTACATCCTTGGAAAAAAAGAAAAAATTAGTTCTTTGTTTACAAGTTATTCTCTATTCAAAAAAATTCACAGAGTGTCTTCATATTCTCCTTAGTCATGTCCTAGTTGCTCTTCTTGGTTTTCTTAACCACATTCCATGAACCTTCACTATGTCTTTCACCAAAGCGTTTTCTGTCAGACACATGTTGACGAAGTTTAGTACTATAATTTTTATAGCAACTACCGTCTTCTTTCATAAGAAAAAAACAAGAAAATATTGGCCAAAGACATGCTTACTGGTGTGCATCTGGGAATTCGTGGGAAGCAAAGATAGTGAAGGAGAAGTCCAAAATACTTCATATGTGACGGAGACTGGCCACATCAAAAACTCGAGCCCCAGGAAATTTGCTCTTTTTCCTAAAAGTTAGATTTATCAACTAGTAGAAAGAGCAAATTGTCCTCGTGCTCGAGTGTTTGATCTGGCCACTCTCTTTCACATATGCAGTATTTCGACTTCTCCTTCACTATCTTTGCTTCCCACGAACTCCCTGCTGCACCCAATAAGCATGTCTTAGCCAACATTTTCTTGTTTTTCTTTGAATACAAATTTAAAGAAATATGATAGAAGTCTATGGATGACTATGAAATTTTCAAGTGAAGAGATTGTTAATATAGCCAAAGAGTGCACCTAATCAATTTAATATCTATAAATGCTGAAGAGATTGTTAACTGTTTTTTGTTCAGAGAAATTGAATGTAACAAGATAAGTATTTGGCAAAACAAGTAAGTGGTAAATGCTAGTAGTTGGTAAATGCAATAAAAAAATAGTAAAAAATAAGGCAACAAAAAGTAGGTGATAAATGACAAAAAGTAGCTAGAAAATGCAAAAAAGATAAGTATCAAGTTAAAAAAATACCAAAACATGCTAAAGTTTTTGTCTCAAAGCTTTTTCAAAAAACTTCGGCCCAATGTGCTGAAGTTTTTTAGTATATTTGCAAAAACTTCAGCACCTGATAAGCTGAAGTTTTTGTGTTGGATTCAATAGTTTTTGTCTTAAAGCTTTTTCAAAAAACTTCGGCCCAATGTGCTGAAGTTTTTTAGTATATTTTCAAAAACTTCAGCACTTGATAAGCTGAAGTTTTTGTGTTGGATTCAGTAGTTTTGTCCCAAAGCTTTTTAAAAAAACTTCGGCCAAATGTGCTAAAGTTTTTTAGTATATTTCCAAAAACTTCAGCACCTGATAAGCTGAAGTTTTTGTGTAGGATTCAGTAGTTTTTGTCTTAAAGCTTTTTCAAAAAACTTCGGCCCAATGTGCTGAAGTTTTTTAGTATATTTTCAAAAACTTCGGCACCTGATAAGCTGAAGTTTTTGTGTTGGATTCAATAGTTTTGTTATGACTTTTAACCAAAACTTCAGCTTAAAAAGCAGAAGTCATTTACTTCATGCTTTCAAACAAAAATGTACTTAAAATTCATGATAAAAGACACAAACATATTTGTATAACACAAAAAGTGAATTAAAAAAATAATTAATGTATATTCACAAAATACAAATTATGTTCAACCAATCGCCTATTCAAAAAATTCACACAAAGTCTCTTCAAAATCTCCATAATCATGTCCTTGTTGTTCTTCAGGAGTTTCATAGCCGCTATCTTTTTTCCACTTTCCATGAGCCCAAAGATTGGCAGCCAATTCTCTCCTGAATGTCAATGACTGACTTTGATCGAAACTGAAGACATCTTCTCTGTTCAACCGCAAATCAATAAACTCAAGAGCAAATATACCACAATCAACACTGCAAAAAACACATGAAAAAGAAATGAAGAATAGTTAACACAAGGGCAAAAATAATAAACATAAGATGCATGGTAAAACATATGTGAAACACGTACCCGTTAGTTTGTTGTGGGGGTGTTCATCCACATAATTTTGAATCTTTCCACAGGATTTTACCCATAATATTTATTATGTGCCCCAAAATTCAAGCATTTCAGATAGTGTGGGATCAACCGGGCATAAATTTTGACATGTTCAATCGCACGTTCGTATGTTACACTGCCCATGGAATCATACACAGATATAATTTTATCTTCAAAGTCCAGAATTCCAAAAAAGTAGTGCGTAGATTTCTGGCCCGTCCTTGGCTTAAGTCGAAATGGAAAGAATACTTTTTTGGCAGATGCCCATGAGATACCACAGGAAAGGTCGAGCCCTTTTACGTAGTTGGCCACCTTTTCATTCGTTGATTCTTCTAATTCTTCTTCAAGCCGTTGTTTGAATATCCTCTTTCTCTTTGATTTGCTCTTTTTTTTATCCTCCATTCTCTTTTGCTTCCTTTTGTTAATTATCTTCATCTTTTCTTCTGAAGGATGAATACCATCCAGAATAGTCATATACTGATCAAAAACTAAATCTGTTACTGCACATCTTGCTTTTGGATAACGTGGAAGGTGATAGCAATATTTTTTGCGCAAGTAATATATGCCCACATCAATATGCTGCAAATGAACAACAACAAATGATAACATGTGAAATTACCAATATGAAGTTTATAAAAAACACATTACACAACTACAAACAGCATGACAAAAACTTAAGCATATTCAGTTTGAAGTGTTAGGCTGAAGTTTTAGCAAATAAGCTAAAAAACTTCAGCAGTTTACTATGAATATAGCTGAAGTTTTCCAAATTACAGTGCAAAAACTTTACTATAAAAAATAAGCTGAACTTTTGGGAAATACAGTTCAAAAAACAAACTTAATAACTTACTTCATCCGAAAGATCAGAGTCAGGATCCAT